CTCTGAACAACTCACAAATGAAACCTTGCTCTTTGTCTTAATTCATGAAATATGTGCAAAGCAAATAACCAGTTTTTGCCCAGAGAATTAAATCTTCAATCTTTTACAAATCAGTGAATATGCCCAATACAAAGCAGGAGGAAGCAGTGTGTAATTGAGGTTATAAGTATTGAAACAGATCAGGATACTGTAAATGATCATTTAGAAATTCACTTAAAGAATTTTTTTTAGACATTCTTCCTCCTTACAACAGGAGGGGGTCAGGACAAATTCACTGTAGATACGTTTCTATTTAATGCATGGAGCTTTAAAAGAAAAATAAAATAAAATAACAAACCAATTACTGCAGCTTTTACTCATACAGGCGTTTATACAACTCCTGATGCTCATGCAGGGTATTTTGACTGAAAATGTTCCTATTGCATAATGTTAGAGAGGACAAATTATATTCCTTTTGAGGGAAATATACGTTTTTTTTGCCTCTCATACTGCTTGTGCTGCAGCACCTCTTTTCACCCTCTGTCTGAAACCAGAGCCCAGTCCAACACAGTTTCACTCCCTGATAGTCCAATAGCGACGCTTGGTCAGGGTCCTTTGGCGTGCAGTTGTGACGCACCGAGTCTCTTTCAGCTTCATAAACGGACGCAAAGAGCTTTCAACTGATTGCAATGTATTCCCATCGGCGACAGTATTTGACGTTCAGGGAGGCACCGCATCGGTCCATGTCGGCGGCAGTTAAAGGCAATGTGAGCGTCCATTCCCATTGGATAACGGATCATTTTACACCCGGAAGTAAGTATTCTCCTTACTGTCGATTGATTTTACAGTGATATCTGCACTACTCATCAACTCAAAAACCCCAGATTATCCTTGATAATTACACAACATTGATTGGTTTAAATTGTGTTCAATGCTTTTTGAAATGGAATGAAACCCATCGACGGCACACTATCCAAAACTGGACTCGAACGTGTTTCGTCCCCCCCCCAGAACTACACATGCTGGCTATATGTGTGTTTCGCAACATGTTCTATGGCGCGTCTCTACTGGGAATTGTAGTCTTAAAAGACGTTTTCGTATTTCCCATAATTAGAAGTTGCCAGTATTAAACTGTATACATCCCTGGAGGTTTAGGGGATGGGATACACATTGGTGTCTATATACAAGTTATTGGAATATGATATATTAGATAAATAATTTGTAAATTGCAGCCAGATTAATGTTGTGGATAAAAGTTCAGGTGTTTAATAGTCTTCTGGCCTGTGGGATGAAACTGTCCCTGAGTCTGGTGGTGTTAGTCCGGATGCTGTGGTACCGCCTGCCAGACGGCAGCAGACAGATCAGTTTGTGGCTGGGGTGATGGGGGTCTTTTGTAATCCTGAGGGCTTTCTTTAAGGTTAACCTGGTATTTTTACTCCACTACATTTATTTTAGTTACTTTACAGATTTGGATTAATGATGTGAAATATAAACAACCCTTAAATCAGACTTTAGTTACATCTGAGTAAAATGTAGTGAAGGTGATTGTCAAGTGCCAACAATCAGGCGAGATATTTGATAGTTCGTGCTTGAGAAGACAACAAATGTATCTGCAGATCCCTATAAAACATTCATTACTCGTTATTCTCTAATCGTTCATTAAAAACTGTATATAATGGCTATTTTGCACATCCCTTTCAAGATTTCAAGATTTTCAAAGGTTTATTGAAATATCATATACACAACTTTGGTGTAGTTATGCAATGATGACAAACTTGGGTCATAGGGTCCTCAACAAGAGATCTATCAATATGTGTGTACCTCCACCATTAAACTGTCATATTCTGCACATTTCTTATTCTATCTACATACATCTTATAAGAGTATAATAAATATGTATAATATCAGTTAAAATAAGTGCTGTCAAGTCCCAAAACAAACCATGCAATATATTAGACTTTAAGTACTTTGTCGGGCTTACTATTTATCAGATACCCCCAAAGCTTTTTGCTTACATGTATTTAAAAGAAAACCTTAACCTAAAGTATTATTTAATGTTTTAATAAAGCCTAATTAGTTTGTCTGTTTTGCACATCCTCCTATTAATATCTTTGTACATCTGGCACTAAATTGTTTTATTGTAGAGATCATTTACAGTATCTTCTGGATATTTTATATTCTATATTTCTATCATTGACCTTTTACTTTCCCCCTATTTTGTATGTACTCTTAATATTTAAATGTTTTCATCAAATATAACACATTCAACAAAACATGCAGCAGACCTTAGGCAAGGCAAGGCAAGGCAAGGCAAGACAAGGCAAAGCAAGGCAAGGCAAGGCAAGGCAAGGCTATTTATATAGCGCCTTTCAACACATGGCAAGTGCTTTACAAAAATGAAAGACATTAAGAAAACGGTATTTAAAAACAGTAATTAAAAAGCAACACAATCTACCTGCATTTCAATTACTCTAAACGTGTAATAACGTGCTTTAACCAGTAGGTGGTTTGGGTTAAAAAGCTGTCAAGTTTACAGTGTTAACACAATAAATTATACGGTTTCCGGTTTAGTTTACGACGGATATATTTTGTTGTCCACAGACGACCACACATATATTGTTTTGATATTTGTAACACAAAAGCGATGGGGAAAACCCATAGCAACACAGAAAAGATGGTCTTAACATGACCCAGCAGTCTAGTAGTTAATAAAACATAATAATATCAAACAAAATATTACTATTAACTTTATTGTGAAATTAAAACAGAACGGTAAAAGAATAGTTTACGGTCTATTCTGAGGCCCAATCTCTGTAGATGAATAAAGAACTAAACCAGATATGTAATATTTAATGCAGCCGAACCATTTATTACAATGCATTTATGTGATGACTTTCAAAGAGTAAAGCAAGCACTAGCTGAATAAAGTATGATTTTATCTTTTACGAAACGTTTTTTTTTATATGGAATATAGTCAGAGGTCAACCAATCACAGAGCTTGAGGACTAATCACGGGGTTTGTCGAGCAAAGCGCATGGTGTAGTCGCAAACGATAGCTGAGGATTATGGGTAGTGTAGCGTCTTCGGCCATCCTAAACTCCGATACAACTATTTGTTTCTCAGAGTCGAAGGGGAAAAACACAAAACCATTGTACACAATTTAAACCAATCAATGTTGTGTAATTAATAAGGATAAACTGGTGTTTTTGAGTTGATGAGTAGTGCAGATATCACTGTAAAATCAATCGACAGTAAGGAGAATACTTACTTCCAGGTGTAAAATCCTCCGTTATCCAATGGGAATGGACACTCACATTGCCTTTAACTGCCGCCGACATGGACCGATGTGGTGCTTCCCTGAGCGTCAAATACTGCCGCAGAGGGGAATACATTGCAATCAGTTGAAAGCTCTTTGCGTCCGTTTATGAAGCTGAAGGAGACTCGGTGAGTCACAACTGCACGCCAAAGGACCCTGACCAAGCGTCGCTATTGGACTATCAGGGAGTGAGACTGTGTTGCCCAGTCTGCTCTGATTGGTTAGCTGTCCGACTGCTGTGATTGGTCAACCGCTTCGAGATATCGCGCCACTTATCCTATCATGTACAATGAGTTGGAGCGCTAGGCAATAGAAACGCAAGTGCTACATAGTGATGTCACAAGAGAAGGAAGAAGCACAATGGAGGCTTTTCAGGCAGGGAGTGTGTGGGAGAGAAACTCCCTCTGAAAGAAATTTTGGAATTGTAGCCTTTGCAGACCATTTACATGCTTTAAAAATCTGTATGACACAATTCAGGAAAGGGATGATAGGGTCTCTTTAAAGATCATTGATTTATAACACCCCCATATTAAAGTGCACCTATCATGCTATTTGTAGGCAATAGCATAGGTCTCAGATATATACAAATATATAAAAAACATGTCTATGAAGTGTTTTGCTCAAAATACCAAACAAATCACCCATTATAGCCATGCCTCATATCCCTCTATTTCACTTTCTGTTTCAAAAGTGCAGATTTTGGGTATAAAGCTTTAAAAAATTAAAATTGATAAAAAATTAAAAAGGAGGGGGCTGAGCTCATGCGGGACCCGGCAGCTACTGTCTAAACTAAATACTGCCGTGATGAAACGCCATATCATGGATTATCAAGGATTATTTCTGAAACAGTATGGAGCTCAAAGGCTTTCTCTCTTGCCGGTTATACCACAAGGTGAGTTCTTTTTTATTTCCTGCTTCTTCACACACATGCTCTCCAGTACAGGTTAGCTCTGAGTGTTAGCGATGCTAATGTAAACACCGACCATATTACGTCCAAAACAGTCTGGCATTGTTTCTGATAGCAACTTTCTGATAGGGCAGTGGGTCCACATTTCCGATATTACCTCATATCGGCCGCAAATCTGGATCAGCTCCGTTGTACCCCCGTTTTTAGAGATTTGGGTACGGAGGAAAAGAGAAAGGGTTTTATTTTCTGACGCTGCGTGAGTTCCCTGACACGCCGGGGACACATATTTATGTATAAAAGACATCAAAAAGTGCATTTTGCATGATAGGCCCCCTTTAAAAAGCATAAAGTATTCTTTATGTGTCTCTCACTATCCAAAGTAATCTTTCACAACAGAACATTGTGACACTTTTGTTGCGCCTCTCATTCGCTTTTGTACCAAAATAAATAAATGAAAAAACCTAATTTATTCAGCCCAATGTGCAATGATGCAACAGGCTGATCTGCCCTGTCACACTCTGATCTGACAATATAATGGATGAGTCTATTTAAACTTGGTGAGTCTACTGTATGCCTTTAGTCTATGGTCTATGCACATTGCATTAGTGACATGACTCATATATAGTGCTGTTATCCAACACAGCCATCAATAAATACGGGACCAAATACGGAGGGGGGCTCATTTCAGTTTCATTTGGCTGCTGCCATTTCACGAATATGATTCAACAACCAGAATAAGAAATAGGCCAGACATTTCACATTGATACAAAAGGTAGGTAGAATGTTAGGGGGACTTACGAGAGAGTTCTCTCTAGCCGCCCTCCTGTGGAACCGATGATTTCTCCAAGGGTACAGAACGTCTGGCCCAGAAAATCCTTATGGAGGAAAAAGACAGAAGGGAGAGTTAATTGCATGACAGGGGCAGGAATCAGATATATAGGCCGGCCAATAGAGAAGCACCGTGAATATGATCTGTTGATGAGAGCAGTTTAAGGCCTTTATGACCTTTAAGGTATACCTGCCTAATACTTTTTTAATGTAAGTGATTGGGGATAATTCCCAGTCATTCATTGACTAAATATACCTGTTTGATTTTTTTTAGGCTAATATGATGTTTGAGCAGACTTTAGGCCATTTCAGACACAACAGCACTACTGCGCTTTGAAACCTATCATTTCTGATGGCTTGCAGTATGTCACTACAGATTTTTTGCTGCGTTGAGCCAAGGTTGGGCGCAAGGCTGTATGTTGTCACAATTGACAATGGAACAATGGAAACAAGGCAACCAGCATGGCACAGAAGGCAAAATGGAGGGAAAACTTTTAAGTCTGAGACTGTGGGCTTTCCTTTGCAAACCTCAAGCCTATATGATCAGCATAGATTAAGTCCTACTATACGTTTCCTCAAATGCACTTTGTTTGGTCTTTTCTGCGCAACTTTCCAGAACTATTTATATTGCATATTTTCCTCACTTACAGATGTTTTAGTACTGAATTAATTAATTAATTAATTAATTCAATTCATTTTAGAGCCTTAGTGTTTCCATGCTGATTCATGGAAGGGGATAGTAATACACAGAGGTAATTCAGCACAAAAAAACAGCATTACTCTGAGAAATGCCTAATTAATTAGTTTGAATCCGACTTCATCCAAAGTCATATTAGCTTTAGAATATGTTACACTTACTGTATATTAAAATCACTTTTTGGATGGATTTCTTGATGCTCACTTCTGACAGGAGGAACTATCACAGCAAAATAAAACTTTTTTCCAATTTGCACATGGTTGCCTGGCTATTTTACAGAAATCTAGACAAAATGTGAACCTTAGCTTTAATAATGCCCTGCTTAAAGCAGCCATGGAGCAATGGAGTCCCAAGACAGCAGTTTACTAGGTTATTTTTATGAGAAATTATTTTTTAACATATACATTTTAAAGTAAGCACAGGGGAGACAGCCCATTCAAACACACTAACATTAACCTTATTAGTTCATGTATTTCTGAATCATAGATGCTTTCATTTACAGGGTATTCCTATGGAGGCTCAACAGCGGTTATGAAATCCCATAAATAGTAATAGGATATTTCAAAGTTATTAAAGTTCAATTAAAGTCTAATCTCATTTTATTGAAGTGTCACTTAAAATGAAGGGTTTAATTCCACCTCTTATGCAAGCATGCATTAACCCAACTAGGTCATGCCCAGGAAGTCCTAGTGGGGTTTATTATTCAGGTGCTTGTTGACTTTTTAAAAGTAAAAGACTGGGTAAGGCACGGTAGAAAATAAAGCGTTTTCCTCTACAATCAGCATTTTCATTGAACAACAGATTTTGAAGTTAACAACCAGCCTGCACACTACAGAGAGAAAAAAACATATGGAAACATAAAAAGGCAAAGATGACACAACACAATAAAAACTCCTGCACAGCAACAAGGGCAGAGCACTATGTGTTGATGTTTGTCGCGTGTAGGCGAGTGAGTGTAGGTGCGAGTCCCACAAACACTGTTTGTAGCTCATGTAAAAGTCCCAGAGTGCAAAATCTTATGCATTATACTGTGTCAAACAACAACATCTGCTATCACTTTGATGTTGGGTTCTGAAAGATGCTTTACCTCAGCGATGATATGAAATGCAGACAGACAAAATGAAGAACAAGACTACGTGGGAGGTTTTCCAGGTGAGAGCTGTTGGTGTTTGTCCTTGATGGAATGAGATGAAAGAATGGGTACAAAGTACAATAAAATCAAAGTGAATATAAACACAGAAAAATAACGAGTCTTAACAGGGGACAGTGACATATATTGGAGAAAAAAAACATGAAATTAATGGACGTTCTTAAAATGCAATGAGGATAAAACAATCTAGATATGCACCACTTACCTTCTGCTCTCCCACGAGTCGATATGTTAAGAGGAAGAAAAAAACCTTTGTCACAAGACAGATTTAGGGTACACTTAATACTTAACATGTATTAATGCTATGTCATCATAAGAGGCCGACAGCATTCACTGTAAATTAGCTTTACTTTTAACTTAGCTTAACTGTGTGAGTAACGCTGAATGCAATGCCAAAAGTTCAAGGGCTGATGGAAGTGCTCAGCGTTGACTCATTTAATTTGGGTTTGACATACTTACGTGTTTGGAAATGTTACAGCTTCTGGAGTCCACATTGTACCTTTGAGGAACAAATACGAGAAGAGATTGGAAAAAATGTGGTCAATTAAAGGGATTTAGTGCAACTACCTGTACTGGTACACTGTAAAAAATGTAGCTGTTCAAAACAGGTTAGGGAGAAGAACTTCCTTGAAAAAAAGCATTTTCTGTCTTCCATTATAGGCAAGGCAAGGCAATGCAAGTTTATTTATATAGCACCTTTCAACACAAGGCAATTCAAAGTGCTTTACAAAAATGAAAGACATTAAGAGCATTAAGAAACATATTATAAAATGACATTTAAAAACACTCATTGAAAAGCAAAGATAAAAAGCAAAGATAATAAAAGTTACAGTGCAGTTTAAGATATGAATATATCAGTTAAAAGCAGTGGCAAAAAGAAAAGTCTTCAGCCTGGATTTAAAAGTAGTAAGAGTTGCAGCGGACCAGCAGGTTTCTGGGAGTTTGTTCCAGATATTTGGAGCATAATAACTGAACGCTGCGTGTATATAATACACACACAAATTAGCATAATCAATTTGCAAATAAACTAAATGAATGAACATTGAACACAATGAAATGCATGATTTTATTTTATTTTTAAAACTTTCCATTGTATCACAATACAATTACTAACGTGAATCATTTTTGCCACGATAACTTTGTAGTTTAAATGTATATCAAGATCGCCCTATTCAGCACTGTACCACAAAAGGCTAAGCTAGCTAGCTTGTCTGTTTGTTAAGATACTCTTACTTTTATTTCTACACAAACAGAAAAGACAGGCAGGTTTGAAGTTTGTTGGAGGTTAAGTTTGCCAAAACTGTGTTGACCAACGGCAAGTTACGTAACAAGAATTTAGCCTAAAAGACATAGTTTAAAACATTTGCAAGACACATGTTAGCTAGATTATATGCTATCTACATGCTAAGCTAATGGACTCCCAGTTCTAGCTTAATTATTACACCAAGACAAAAGAGTTGTATAATTCTTGCAGAAAAAGCAGGCAACAATGTTTTGACCTATTGAGGAATATGCTTAACATATTCCAAGTTACTTGTCTAGCACAGTTTATCATTTAGCACAACTTTTTCCCATATTTATTTTTTTGAAATCTGACTGACCTAAAAGAGCCAAAAATAAAGAATATCTGAGAGTGTTGCTATTTTCAAATGCTATTGTTGTATCTGGGTTGTTTCGCAGGGCTTATTTGGAGATTGAAAATAGGGAATACTTTTCAAAGCATAAGGAATGCTCAGAGGTATGAATTATGAACAACACCAACACAATAGAATCATCACAAACAATGTTCCTGTTCCAGTTTTATGTTCAAACTGTATATCAGCTCCAGCCCTACAGACACAGCTGAGACATAAAATCACTTTCCTGTGCCTTGGTTGAAGCCATAGAGGCATCTAAGTGATCTTTCACTGTTATCGATTAAGGATAACAGGTAGGTGAACTGAACAGAATAGCCAAGTGTGTATATAGACATTAATTTAATCAGCGAGGCTATCAAGCAACCTTCGCAAGAAACTTTTTTTTTTTTTTAAATCTCCTTCCCTGATTGGACCCCCAAGATTTAATCTTAGCCCCATTAGCCTGTTCATTTATCCCAATCGGGCAAAATGAGCTTTTCATTAGACTGAAGACCTGCAGAGAGAGAATGTATTCCAATGTGATCAAAGGCATTGCTATTTTTGGTTTGTTGCTGTGAACCCATACTGAAGTAGAACCCAAGTTTAGAAAGAAATGAATTCAGATTTATTCAGAAAAAGTGAATAAAATGCTGTCAGGTTACTTACACATCAAACCTTAGATTTTGTTTCTCTTCAAAAAAGAAATCCAGGACAAACTTCCTGACGAAATCTGGATTCCGAGTGTTATCGATTACCTCTGTCCTGCCAAACTAGAAAAAATAGAAAGAAAGTGATAATTGGTGTTAATGGCAGCAGTCTCGACTCAACCAATGTTATCAAGTCCACATCAAGTGAAACCCACCAGGGAAAGAAGTGAATACAAATTCATGAGATTCAACAGCAACCCACATTACCATTGTAATATTTCACACAGGATTGGAATCCAAAAATACGAATCTCTTTGGGAAACACTGTATCACACTGAGATTCATTGTACTATGTGCTAAATTGTGTGTCCCTGGAGAAATCAGACAGCTAAATTCGAGCTACATTTGACCAAGGTCCAGCCTCCCTCCTGGGCCAGGCCGTCTCTCCATCTCCCTTACAATCACACAGGTAATCCCCCCGGTGGACGCCAGACTCGCCTACCCTCCCCGGCCCGACAGACCCATGTAATGAGCTATTGATCTCTGCACTGCCTCACCGCAGCCTCAATAACTCGATTTAGTGCTCAGCGCACATAATCCATGCTATCAACTGCGTCCCCAGCATACCCATTACCAAGGTCATGCAGGGGAGTTTAGTGGACCACAGACCCTACCTAACGCATCGACCCGAAAGGAAACTCCCCTGATAGTTCCTTGTTGTGTTTCTATTTTTGGGTTGAAGGCCTTTGGTTTATAATCTCACACAGGGGTGATTGGTTAATAGGAGCATGGGGCATGCATCAAGGTTAGGGAATTGGCAGGGAAGTTAGTTTTTGCTGTCCTAGATTAGTCTGTTTAGTTGGAAATACAATATCGTAGTGCAGTGATGACGTATTTTTGTAGGCTGACACAGAAGTTAGCATTGAATTCGGTATATTGCAGAAAATGAGCTAAACACACATTTATTACGTGCATGTTTTGTTCAGCAGGATAATCGCCACATATTAACAGCACTTTTTCATTTTTAAAATGTAAAATCAATCACCAGAAGTAGCGTCAGGCTTTGAACAAACTACATCACGGTGGCATGGCTGCTCACATTGCTTAGCTAATGGCCGACTCAGATTGATGACGTTTAGTAGTCTCATTTAGTCACTTGTTAGCAACTGCTGTTTTTACGACACATAAAACCATCTTACATTCTCCAGGTGGGTCGTTTCTGATGGATTGTGTGTTGGAGAACAAAACATAGAAATTATCTTCAGCCTGTGTTAACCTTATTTCAGGCTCCTGGCCACAAACACGTTCGAAAAACCATTGCCTTTAATACAAGGGAACCGAAAAGTGGTAACATTTACACACAACATCTATTGCACGTCTGTCCGTCCTGGGAGAGGGATCCCTCCTCTGTGGCTCTCCCTGAGGTTTCTTCAATTTTCCCCCATTAACTGTGGGGTTTCTATGGAAGTTTTTCCTTGTCCGATGTGAGTGTCAAAGGACAGAGGGTGTCATGTTCATATTGTGTAAAAACTGTAAAGTCCAGTCCACATTGATTCAAATGTAAAATGTGTGATATTGGGCTATAAATAAACTTTGATTGATTAAAAATACTACCTCATTTTGAGGTTTTGGGACTCATTCCTCATTGTTGGTTTTAATTAGGCTATGTGTAAGGAATAACAAATGGTTCTGACACTAATATAATGTAGGGTATTCATTTCACCTAGCTGTATCCTACACGTTTGAGTTGCTTAGTAAACAGAGAAGAAACATTCAGTTGCATAATAACAACAGCAGTGCACAAAAGGAAGATTTGGGTTAAACGTTGTTCCCATGTTTGTTCATGCACAGTTGTTTTGCAGTGACTTGTCAAAGATTTGCATACATTGTGTTTGGGGAAAATTAAGTGGGCTTTATGCTAAGCTTGGCACTTTGTTTGTTTTCTGCATCATGACCTTGGTATAGAAGACTCAACTCAAAAACCTAACCTGCATTAAGTTGAATTCAAGCTCAGAAAATATCAAAAGGTGTGTGACATTAAGACAGTATATAGACATCCACTTTTTAATATGTAGCCCCACCGAATTGGAAACAACAAAACTCTTCAAGAACATTGTTGGTTTCATGGCATAAAGTTAATTGAGAAAATGTGTTTTCAGGGCCTTTAAGCAAATAAGATCAACTTGAAATAATCTGACCAGGTCACAACAAAGTATCACAGCTAAATATCATTCATGAGCAATAGCAAAAAATGTTTAATGTAGCATTGACTTCTGTCTCAGAAGATATTCAATTTTTTGGAGCCCTTTATACTCCGACAGAGGAGGTTAAAATGAGATGAATTTGGCATTCATGCTAATAAGCTATATAGCTTCCCAAATGTTGTTCTGTAATTGTATCTGTCAAAGTTGCCAGAGTTAAGCTTATTTAATCGCACCAATCCCAATGAAATAAATACATTTAACAACATAGTTTCTAAGATAGTGTGACCAGGCCTTTACTCTAGTTTTGCAGCATGTAATCACACAGACAGTGATGTGTGTAGTACTCCATGGGCCCGGAATTGTGGGAGCCTGTAAGTGAAGATCAAATCCATTGGCTCAGATGAATGGAACTTCTTGTGATAAAACGATTTAGTGCACAGCCTCACGCAGCAGTAACAGCAAACGGCAACAATGGAAACCCAACAAAGAAACCTTGAAAAGAGAATGGTTTGAATGGTTCGCTACATCATGTTACCTTACCTTCAGGATAATAGCTATTTGATCAAACAAATGCTATGGGCATAGGTGTTTTCGCTAGTTAATTCGGAATTCAAATGATTTTTCATTCAAAGGATACATTTCATCCACATATTATATATTGAGTATTGCCATAATGCAAAACAATATGTCAAAAAACAAGGATTTGTTAGGTTTCCATTTAAGCATAATTACAGGCTCCCGGTGTGCCTGATAGCGAGATGTTTACTCAGCTGATTGCAGTTCAGTTCATGCAGTGTTTTTGATTAAGCCCTGCCGCATTGAATAAAATAGGTGTGAGGTATCTTGAAGTGAGGGGATCAGCCGTGGCAAAGCCGCCACTGACACATCAATGTTGACTTTGAATTTGCAAATGGGTAAATACACCAACTAAAGATAGAATGTCATAGCCAAATAATAAGAGGGGAAATAGGGACAAGAGATGACAAGCAAACGTGGGGCTAAGAGATGCAAATATGTCTGTGTGTCAAGGAGACGGGAAGAAAAAGGAAAAAAAGGGAGATATGAATGGAAAGTCCCATAAGTCCACGCCTTAAAAAAGAGTGACAGAGGGCGAGGAAGAAGGAAGTCTCGAGGAGCAGAGGGCGCATATTTGATGAGACCGAAAAGGAATCTCCCTTCTACTTCCCCCAGACCTGAGTCACGAAACCTTAATAATGAGATCCGTTTCATTTATTTATTCCTTAACCTATTAATTCATCAGTTCGGGTCAGGTATATGAAGCTTTTTTCCTGAGTCCATTTCAGACATTGGTTACACTTCTCTGGGCAAGTGGAGAGGTTGAGACTTTCCATTTTCTTCAACCATGTTCCCTGAGTTAGCAGTGAGTTGCCTCTGGAATTCAACTTAATAACCTCCTCATCTCAGCCATGACTGAAACTCACTAGCATCAGGGAAAACTTTTGAAATTAATAATACCCAAAAGAGAAACCGGCAGACAGGCAGACACAGAAATGCGACATTTTAGAGAAAAAGGTTTGCTTAACTCACCTCCCTCCATTCTTTGGTTCCAACAGCCTGCAAATACAACACGACCACTGGAAGAGAAGAAGAAAAAGCCCAAAGGGAACAGATGAAAAAATAAAAATATTATTAATTATTTGTTCATGTTGGCACCTGGGGCACCTGGCAGTCATTGCAACGCTAACTAAGAGATAAAGGACACCCATTCTCTTTAGATCTGACAGCTAAAAGCTAAATCAATAACTCCTTAATAGAAAGAATTATTATAATGAAAAACAGGAATTACGGCATCTTTAATCTATAGTCAAGACAGTTACCTTATATACAGCAAAACAGAGCAAAGTTACAATGAAAAGACATTGACAGAATATAATTTATAAAACATAATATGTTTGTTTTTTTGAGGGCTCATTCTCACTTTTCTGCCTGGAATGCCTGCAAAAGAAATGCAGGAGTAATCAATCTCTGCATTCCCTGCCTTGCAGATGCTGTCAACGCCTTCAGCTAAGCTTCTCCCTGGCTATCAATATTTTAAATTAAAAAAGGGCAGAATAAATATGTATTAGGCATTATTTATAGGAACTAATGTTTGGTGTCATTGCTGACTTTCCCTCTAAAGAAGAATGCAAAAGTTGCAGCAAGTGCCCCAAAACGACATGTTTACTTTCAAATGACAAAGACCCATAGCAGCCATAGTCATTATGACTCCTGTCTGTTTGGACAGGTGATGTTATTATAGACAAATGGCAAGCTTTAACACATCATTAAACAGATGACATTGTTTTTTTGGTCGTTCCCAAGGGCAGTTACAAAGAGTGTATTTTTTTGTTTCATTGACGGATATATTATTTGGCCACGCTAGCAGCATGGCTCCACAAATGGCATTGTTGGTCTAGAAAACCAACCACCACTTTCTCTCGGGACTGAAATATCTTAACTGCAGAATTACTTTTACAATAGATGGCATTCATAAAAGCCTCAACGGTACTTTGGGTTTAATGTTACTTTGAGTGTTAACATAAAACAATATATATGATATATAGCTAAATAAACCTAAAGATTGTTCACGTAATAACTATGTACAGTAGATGCATTCATGAAACACACCAAGGACTGTGTATAACAATACGTATACCTTTTCCGGAAGAATATGACCTGAGCAATTTCTACTGCCAGCAAAGCATTTTATTTCAGTCTGACCTTTAAATTGACTATTATGAAAGTGGTAATTTTATCATGAATACTGGATATGGAAAACATTGTGTTCAGCTTTATCTATCAAGCGGTTTTCTTTAACAGTACAGCCTCCCATAGTTGCTAGCATGGCTAAAGATTCTTATTGAGTAAAAGCTTAAGTAAAAATATGGGTCCCCAGCCTATGGTCCCCAGACTAGCCATTATGTGTTCTTTACTGTTTACAGTCTTACTTTGGTTTGTTCAACAAACTTACATTTGTCTTTTGAGGGGGGCATTTTGCTTTGTGTACAACTGCATAAACATGCAATAAGGCATAGACAGCGCAATTATATCCCAGAAAATTAATCATGTTGTATTTAAATTATTTTATAATGTAGAAACAAACAACCCACACTTAAGGCTCTTTGGGATGTATTAATAACAGGCCGAGTGTTGCTGTTTGTGTCTACAGGGGCAAAATGAGCCACTCTGTGTCTCTGCAAAGTTTGGACATTACTGCTAATGAACTTCAGACTGTCTGAACCGGCAGACAATTAAAACCACATTTTCTTCCTAATGAGCAATTAACAGAGGGAAGATAACAGAGGAAGGGCAGCAAGCAGCAAACCTTTTGGGCATTGCGCCTTTAGAAGAAAACAATCTTTTCATTGTCAGTTTGTTAAGCATACGGGAGGCATACAGTATTGTTTAAAAAGGAATTACAAGTTAATCGGTTTGGGAATAACATGTAAGCCTTCAATTAGATTAAAGAACAGAAAACGATAAGGGCAAACACTCTCCAGGGATTGTTTGTTTAAAAGCTATACCCCGATCCTTTCTGGCCCAGAAACAAAAATAATGCAGATATGTCTGTTTATCAGACATCATGGTCCCAGGACCTTGATTTTTCCCCAAGGTTGCACTGTAACAAAGCCACAGCCCGACAGTAGACTCAGACTAATCCGCGTCGATGCTATACCGGGTCGGTCGAGTCCTAAGAACCTGACTGATTGCCTGCTTTATGGAAAGTGACTCCGAAAGGAAAGAGCCCATCTGGTCAGCCGCAGAGCGACCAAATAACAAGGCGATTCGGTGTCTCTCCAATTCCTACTCCAACTCCAACTCTGCACAATAGTCCGCCTGCAGACCCAGGTGACGTGAATAAATCGTAATCAGCACAGATCGTACCAAGTTATCACATGGGTCCACAGCTTAACACTAGATAGTACAGACAGTTTCAAGTGGCACAGAAAAAGAACGGATCCCCTGCTAAATTGGCCGTGCATGAGTTTCTTTGGCAACTTGGGACATTTTTTTCTTAAATGGGCAAAACTTCATATTTTACCTTGAGGAAAGCAGTCTTTAATGGAGACAAAGTATTATATGCTACTTCCCTTCCCTGCCTCCCTCAGCTCTTTCTCCCTTTTTATCTGACACTTCTGTGTGTGGGCATTGTCACTGTAATGAGCAACATTATATCCTTTAAAGAACTTCCTATCATAACAAAAATAATCTGCACTGGGAAATGTTGCATCTAAAGCATATTATAATAGAACATGGTGAAAGTAGGAGGAATAGAACCAGCATCTTGATAAACACATACATAAAATGGTTTGGAACAACCTGAAAACAGGGAAACATTTTCTTATGTTTATCAGTCAGGGTCTTATGAGGACAATTCGAGAACTTCCTCAGTACACATGACAATCTCTGGAATTAGGGCCACTTGGACCAAGGTGACAACAATTGTCCCTTAAGGCCTGGACACACCAAGCTGACACCAAAGAACTGACACAGACGGACCCCCGACTGTTGTGTCGCCTCGCGTCTCTGCGTCTTGGCCATGTGTCGCACTGGAACACACCGCAAAGACTTCAGCCGACGGCCAAGAAGCACGTACGAACTGCGCATGCGTGAGTGGCAATAGGCATTGTCAAGACAAGAAATGGATAGTGTAAATTGATGAAAAAGTGAATCCCATTCTTTGAATTTGACTCAAATTAAAGCAGGAAAACTATCAAGAAAGGAATCTCAAAATGGGAAGTGCAGTCCTTATTCTTAATAGGTAAATATCTAACATTTCAGCATTTAAAAGAATAAAAAAAACACCAGCTACTTGATCTGTACAGTCGGTTGATGAGTTGTGAACTTCTTATCCCAAATGTTTCAAACAATTTTCCATCACAGAATAATCTGTAATTGATTTCAAGGTAACAATTTATTTCATTTTGTAGCCTGTAATAGCAACAGGGACAAATCCACTTTGTGAAGTGAGTCCTCAATGTAATTTTCTGCAAGAAGCTATATTAAATAGAATGTTCATCCACTAATGACACTTTTGAGATCCTGGCTGCTGTTAAATATATATTTGAACCATGTCAAAGGATTTTAGTCATTTGACATTTGGAAAGGTATCAGAGAAACAAGCTGAGCAAATGTTGGCCTTTATCCTAAGGTAAAACTGATATTTAAAAATCCTCAGATCTGTTTGTTTTGGACAAGGAGCTTATGTAGATAATCTGGCACCTGGTGAAAACCTCAAGACTGTCAGGATTATCAAATGATCAGAGATACAAGCTGAGCAAACGTTAGCAGTTAGCTCCCAACCCCCTTCCACAAAACTGCATCAGAGAAATATTTCTTTTTACCATGAAACTGCTTTATTCATAGTTTTTACCCTTTAGTTTTGATTGAGAGCCCACTAGAGGTAACATAAAAATGTCTATATTGTACATTTTATGAGCAAAAACTTTCTCTCTCAGCATGCATGCCAACATTGACACAGGGTCATTATAAATTGGGAGTGGAGAAAATCCATGACTTACTGCTAAGAATAATGTGTTATGTGCAGAGTTGGGTGAGTTGGTGAGTTGGTGAGTTGGGAGTAATATTATTATATATTATATTTTATCGGTTACTTTTGTTGGTAACGGAGTAGTGTAACGCGTTACTTTTATAATTCAGTAATCACACTACAGTTACTAACATTGCCCCGACACGCGTTACTTCGTTACTTTTATAAAATCAGTCATAATCACACTGACAGACAAGAGGGGTTTCCGCCGCAGGTTTATATGTACGTAATCTGCGCGACTTGCGCGTCCACATCTCCACGTGCAGTGCTGCATAAACATGGCTGAGTCAGCGATAACTTTCGAGGGGTGGAGGTATGCCCATTATTTTGAGTTCGTCCGAAGAATAGACAGGAATGTGACGGTGAGGTGCAAACTGTGTCCAGGCCAGAAGCTGTTATACACTGCTGTAAACACCACGTCCACCTCAACAAACACCTGCAAAGAACACATGCTAAGGTGAAGCTAATAGCTAAGGACCCCCGAACCCAGAGTGAGGATGTTGTGAGTGCGCCGCCGCCGACTCCGAAGCAGCACAAATTAGAATTTGGAGGACCGGTAACCAAAGCAGAGATGGACAGGCTTGTAGCATCCTTCATAGTAGAGGTAATGTTGCCCATTTGCACAGTGGAATCACCATCGCATCGTTCAGAGATATACTGCGCAAAATACAGATAGCAGGAGACAGAGGACAGCCATGGTCAGAGCTATCTGAATCAGTCTTATGCGACAATGGAAACTGAACTAAAGAGAACATTTGAAACTTTAGCAGTCTGCGTGATCTGCCTGTAGGGAGGGGCGGGCCGGCCCTGCGAGTAAAGTAACGAGTAAAGTAACGAGTAAAGTAACGAGTAAAGTAACGAGTTACTTTATGTAGAGAGTAACGAAGTAGTGTAATATATTACTTTTTTTTTAAAGTAATATGTAATATATTACTTTTTTTTAGTAACGACCCCATCTCTGGTTATGTGTTATGTGTTATGTGTTATGTGTTATGTGTTATGTGTTATTGCGCTCTAAGGCAACATTTCTGAGATTCTGCAGTA